GCTTGGAGATTGTAGTAGTTGACCAATATTTTTCAGAATACACTTAATATAAAACATAATATAAATTATAGGTACAAAGTTAAAAATTCATTTTATTCATATCTATTTAATAAACTACATGCTTTTACAATTGCGTATATATTGTATAGGTACAACATATACTCAGTAATGCTATTATTATGTACTAACAAATACCTCATAAGATATTTTTTTTTTTGTATATTAAATACATTTTTGTATTATTATTTTAAACTTTTGATGGGTATTTGCGTATATTTTATTGATCTTAACTTCTATAACTTCTGAGCCCTAATAGTTATGCTATTAGCTTTCACACACCTTGGCCAGCTTTAGTATACCTATAAGTGCATACGAACACATTATACTTAAAAACTCCACATAGTTATATCGTATAATGTTGGTTACAACGTATATATAAAGGGAAATAAAACATCACTATCAAAGTACTCAGTTCGTATAAATATGTAACTCATTTGGTGTAGGTTACCTATTCTGACTATACAGCGTGATTCACCAAGCATGCTTACTCCCCTTTTTCCTTAACAATGCAGTTCTTAAAAATCTAAAGTTCGGTTCAATGATTTAAATTTTTAATGTGTACTGACTGCATTTTTGTTATTCATGTGTTGATTTCATTGGCAGTTTGTTTTGGTTTTTTTTATGTTTAAAAATTAAAAGTTCGACTATAACCTTAAATTAATTAATTTCACTTTCTTTCTGTTTTTCTCAMGTTATAGTTGCTTTTAAACTTCTTATTCATTTTCATATTTTTATAAATTCATACTCAGTAGTCAGTTTAGAACTATTTGATTTTTTATTTTGTGTTTCGTCTCCTGTAACATTTATGTAAATATAGTTTTAGATCATATACTTCTATACTAATATATGATCTAAGAGTATCGTTCGTCCACATGGCTATATCATTTATTAATAGTATTCGTTAATATAGGGTGCACATTGACGTACTTACAGAAACCGTGAATTTTTGGGTTGTGTCTTAATGAATTATGTGTTAGTGAGTTACATTGAATTATTCGAGGATATCCCATTTTTAATTTTTACCTTTTTTATAGCTTGAGTGCGTCCTCGAAAATTTCCTATTTCTATGTGAAGTGAAATGAGTAATCAACTAATTATTTTTAAATATTGTAATACATTTTATTGATTTTTATAAACATTATAGCTCTGAATAGCTAATTCAATTAAAATAATTTCAATACGCTAAGAATTACCACATTCCACCTTATTTTGGACGGATTTGGAATATTAAAAAAAAGTAATTGGGGGACGCACTCGGGAAACTTCCAATTATCAGTCGAGATTGTCACATTTAATTATTATATTATTGTATTTTTTATTGTGCAAGTGTGTGCATCCCGAGACAGTAGCGTTCTGGTTCGAAGCCGCTAACGGACACAAGTTGATAGATAATCGGCTGACGAGCCTCATGAATTTATTATTATAATTATTACATGCTATACAGGAATTTTGTCCTTATATTATTATATGTTGTTCAGGCATTTTATTCTTGCTTGCTAATCAAGCACTCGGTAAATTCTTATGCAAAAGGAACAACAATCATTGTACGACCGGGTTTGTTTACAAAGTTGCAATATAACGGAAGTGTTGGCGGTGGGATGAACGAAATAATAATCTCTGTAGTAACAAAAACAAATTCCGTTAATATGTTTTTATACACACACACACGCATATATATATATATATATATATATAAGTTAAAATTTAACCTCGTATACGGCCTGCCAGTCCGATAACATTAAACGGCGTAGATGAGTATATTTATGCGTACCTATATATGTATATAATATATATGTTAATTATATTGTCCTCAACAGAATAAAAGTCCATGGCCCACGTTCAAGTCCACGATTAAWAGGTTACAAGTCAGCAACAACGATGTACCATGAGGCATTTTTACGTCTTATCATAAAAATCAAATTATTTTTATTTTTTTTAATTACTTAACAAAATAAGTTACCTACTTAATATTACAGATTAATGATTATGTATCGTCAGCAAAGCCGCGAGGTCAGGGAAGAAAGATATTATGAATGTGGTTTTAAGTTTTAATGATGATAGTGACTTATTAAGTTAAATATATATTATGGTAACTAGTGGGGTAACTAGTATTTTAGGGTCAGCAGCATAACATTTTCTGAGGCCTCTTAAAAAATTAAAAAACGATAAATCTTCAATATTTAAATTTGAAATTTATTTCAAATACCAAAATAATATTATTTTCATATTTATTATTTTGTTGTGAAATCTGTAATCTAACATAAAAAAACATAAAAAAGATATTTTTGGTTAAGCTAGGACCCTCATTAGTTTTGGCTCGTGGTGTTTGCAGTGACCTTGTCCACCCAATTTTTATGCCAATTATGGTAAACTGTTAAGGATGTATATCAGTGGTTCTCGAGCTTTTTTTGTTTCATTTTGGCACATTATTATACATGACAAATTTTCGCGGCACACTCAACGCATGTGTAATGAAATAAAGTACTGTTTTAAATATTATTTATTATTGATGGGGCACGATTATTATCGTGGCGCATTGAGAGGCAGCCAGTATTCGGACGTTCATGCAAATTGAGATGTCGGGGATACTAGACACAGCAGGTCCTGTACTTCGCTTGGAGTGATATTTCGAGAATAATAATACCATAGTAATATGTATTATGCACTCGTGAATTATTGTCGGTTTGGGTCATGACCTTAGTTTGGAAACCATTGATCTAATATAGATTGTAACGATTTTGGCATTATGATGAGTGACGTCTAATTATTATGTAAATCGGGACCAATTTCGGTAAGGAACTTGTTGATTGATTTCATATTTAAACTTGTAAAAATATCATAAGCGTTGTCCACGAATTTAACTCGAGTTTTTAATTTTTATGTCTATGTTGATAGGCACTAAAACGCTGTACAAGCGTACCCCTACTGTAAAATGCAAATATATGTTGTATAATTTTATGCAAGCTGATATACCGAGAGAGAATAGAGAAATCTACATATACCTATATTGTATATATTATAATGTATAGTGACATGATTTATCTGCACAACGCTTGGCAAAAATACAGCTTCAGGTGCCGAGATTTTTGCTATACTATAATTTATGCGTAATTAATGCGATTTATTAAAATATTTTGAAAACGCGCTTCTCTTCGCTGATTATATAATATCTGTATACGAATAAGAATCACTAAGTCTGGAGACAATAATTTTATTTGACGGCAGCGACGTTGATAGGCGGAAGAAGCAGGCACACAAGCGATTTCACAGTATTATATTATTATATACTACACAGTAAGAGAATAAAAATTATAAAAGTAGTAAATACTAATAATGACATTTTATAATATGAAACGATCGTGATTGTATTTTGTCTGCAGAAAAGTGTAGGTATAGTCCCAAAAAAAAATATTTACAAACGTCGCAATATATCCGTCGTCCGCAATGACCTAAGTTGGCACGATTGCTCAGTGGAAAAAGAAATAAAACGATTTGTGCATATTCTTCGCGAAATATAATTCAAAATACATAACATACAATATTATTTGAAGCGGCCGTTTCCGGTGTGCAGTTTAAAATGAATCAAATATAATATTACGTATTATGTCATTTTGAATAGTTTGTTTACGACGTAGAGTTATTCGTATTTTTTAATGATGTTATTATTTATACCGATAAAACATCTGAAAATTCCGTGCACGTTGAACTAGTTGTAACCACACCAATTATGAATAAAGAACTTCTTTATAATCGTGGTGGTACATGTAACCTAAAAACGTTATCACTTTTCAATTATCGCACGTGATTCAGAATTCAGATAATATAATATTCATGTACTCTTGTAACTTATATTTTTTTAAATTTAATAATATATTTATTTTATAAGACATTCCTAGCCAACAGTAGGCTATCTATATCTAGAGATAGTATTTACAATTTTTATTTTTGACTTTTAAAAACAAGATAACGAATAGAAAAAAAAACAAAAAAATATATATAATAAGATTAATTAGGTACCTTATACTATACAATGTGATTCGTTAAGCAAGCTCAACTACTTTTTGGAATTTTTAGGTATACCAGTTGTAAAGTAGTATTATTTTCATATCCTAATTTTTGATATCTTTTAAAGAGTTTCCAAACTTTTTTTTTTCAAATAAGAATCATCCTTTTTTACTGTAAAGATTTTTTTTGTGTAATAATCAAGATGTGTGTAAGTATTTTCCAAATTACTATCAAACTTAATGTATTAACTACTATAAGGATGTTAAAATGGTTGTACATAGCTAAATCAAACATAAAATGCTAATCTTTAATACTTTGATTTTCAATTCATCATAGCTCCACGTATCTTTAATTAGTTATCCTTATTACCTAAATTTAATGTTTAATAATTGAGAAACGACAGAAACTATTCACCTGAGTTTCAATTTATAATACATTATATATATTATGTACCTTTCTCGACGTAAAAAAATAATCTGATAACCCTTTTTTTTACTGTAAACAGTTGAGAAACCGTACCTTTTGAAGGCTAGACCAATTCGGCATTAAAAGTGATATTTTATTGAAAATGCAGGTTAACCCAATAACCCCTTTTATAAATAAACGATTYACATTATGACATCATATTACGGTTATATAATATTGTAATATGTTGGTCCACTCGAAAATGTTATATATTTTCCAAACGTCAAATGGGCATTTATAGAGGGTGCGTGTCAATTATACGTAATAATATAATATTACTCGTATATATAGGCGTAGGTACCTATATGATGAAAAAACAAAAAACAAAAACCTAAAAACCGCTAGTATGTTAATCGAAGATCGCCGCTCCCACCTCCCGCGCCCGACGTCTCCTCCTCCTCGTCTTCGAGCACCAGACAGTGTCAAGGCCCGGCTGTCTCACTATCAGCTCTCTTTCGCTCTTATTTACACCGTCACCGTCTTTCGCCGCGGGTACAACTGCGGTATACGTCGCAGCGGCTTCACGACAATAACCGGCTGCAAGACACGCCGCGACACCGTAGTTTTATTATTATTTTTATGTAACAATAATATATATAAAACATTATATAGAATTTCTACAGACATTTTTCTATCGTCCATCCGGTTCAGTTACCGTTTCTCCTCCCTAGCTTGCGCGTGTTCGCCAGTCGGTTAATACCTGCACTGTTGTGGTAGCGGTCGTCCGCAGAGCGCGCGTTTACCTCTTTCCCGGGTTGACCGTCTCAATAATAACGTTATAAGACATTAAATAATATCATGATATTAGCATAAAAATTATTATTTTCCGCCATGGACGTCGCGAGCGGTTAACGCATTTCGTTTTCTTAATATTATATTTATAATATTACGCATCAATATTTGTTCTAACTGAAATCTCCTTCGCAAATTTTACCGAGCACGTTGGAGTGACGTTTTTGGAGTGCGTCCGTGAATATACAGAGAAAAACTCGCACGAGGACGGACGGTCGTCTCTCGTCTCAGACGCAAGATGGATATCCAATTCGAAGACTTGACGTACGAGGTGAAGCCACCGTTTTGGCAAACCAAAGGTCAGTACCTTCGATATTGTTATTAGGTTTTTTTTTTTCATAATCCATGTATGTCTGAGCTTGCCAAAAATGAGGCCAAAGCCAATCGGAATATTTTGTCTCTTTACAAGTATTGCAGCGTTTTTGCAGCACTGTGATTTTTATTTTTTGATACCTATGTAGGTAATACTAAATTGTTAAATTAAAATAACCAAACGATGATTTGACTATATGCCTACGATATATATATATATATATATATATATAAATGATAACTGTCACTATAAATTTATACAATATGCACATAATATTATGAGAATATAAGGACCCAAGTGTCACGTAAACACGGCAAATAATCATTGTAAAAATATTATACTTGTTAGTGTTGGAATGTGCTACAACGTTTAATGCTTGTGGGTGCAATGAGAAACCATGAAACAAAATCTAGTAGAATCAATTGGAATTTTATAACAATTTTGACCATCAAATTATAATTCATAAATAATGGCGTATGTACTAGAATTATTTAATTTCGTCATATCGGTATATGAAACGAATGATAACTCGTTTAAAGAATGGCTGTTGTTATCTGATATTTTAAATCAGAATGCTCATTGAATTATTCCTGTTCATAATATATAATAGTTACCAGCTGATATAATAATTAATATTTTTTTTTATTTTATATAATAGTACATATCTGTCTTATCTATATAATATAGTCGGTTGGTTGTAACTTTTAAGCAGGCACAGTATATAATATAACGTCGAATAAATAATCTACCACAAGACGGGCTTTGTTCTGCGTAAATTAACTTAGTAATGAAACACGTGTATTCTTTTTCATTTAAAAAAAGTAAATATAGGCATATCCGCATATCAGGGTTAGTCTGTAGCTTGTAGGTATATAACTATAAGTAATACAAGGGTTTAATATAACGTAATATTACAATTATCGAAATTATAATGGTTACGCGTAACCAAACCATGTTATTAGTGTCTAAATTATTTTAGTTATTATACATTCATACCTAATAATAACGTAATAGTAAGTCAATTGGTTTTAAATTATGCGTGTGTCATCACTGTTATTATATGACATTAAATATGTGTTTAAATCCTATAAAAACCGATAAAAACTTGTACCTATTACTGAGCGATGAATGATAAAAAAACGATTGACTATCCTTAAAAATACACACCACTTATTGCTTATATCAATACGGCACAAATATTGGTGTCTAGTTATTAATTTATTATAAAAAATATTCTTTATAAATTATAAGTATCTTGTCCGAGTAATTCTTAGTTGTATTATACTATAATGTAAACAACGCAATATTTGAAAAAAGTAATTCGTCTCACGACTCGCATGAGTTATGCAGTATTTTTAGTGATTTAGTTATGGGTGTCAGTCACTAGTGAAATAAAAAACGTGTAGACAGAACGGTGGGAAACGCCTATGATATAACTATAGGGTTTGGAACTTATTGCACACAAATTTTAGGAAATATGCTTGCACATAATGCACTTAAAATGCAACTGAATATTTTTTTAAAGATGATTAAAAATTTGATTTATTTATTTTAGTTAAGATAATTTTTTTTACTGGTTATAATTTAACATAGAAAAACTATGACGCATGAAAACAAACTGAACACTTATTTTTCTTTTATTCTTTTACATACTCTAAATGATTTACGTTAATTCGATCGATACCTGATAGTAAACGCAGGTACAATTAGGTATTTCCCTAGATGCCAAATCCAGTTAATAATGTTTATTATCTTATCTTCATTAAGAAACCGACAAACAATTTCCTTAGTTGCTCTGTTCAGACTCGTTCTATGATTAGGTACATTGCCCATGTTAATTTTTGGAGGTAATTCGAAAAATGATCATTTCATGATAGTCAAATTATTATTTTTTGCACTCGGTAATTCTTAACTTACCTCGTAACTTACCTATAGTAAGTACGTAGCTACTACGTATACATCACATGTCTTAAAATCATTAGAAGCTTAGATACAAACAGGCACGTTATTAAAATTAAATTAATATCCAATTTATCAAAGAATTTTATAAGAATTTTAAATATTTTATTTATTATATTAACTGACAAAAAATTTCTCAAATAACTTTTTTAATTACAATCATACCATTATTACCACAAACGTGTTATTAGATTTCATATTAATTTGAAATATTTTGAATGTATTTAATTTTTTTAATGATTATACTCAAAATTGAAATAAAAGTATTTATAAAGTTTAAATAATAGTCAGGATAAAAAAATATAAATGATTTTACGTAAGTATATATTTATGTATCAACATTGAGGTTATTTGAATTCCATAGTTTTTATATTTTATACTATTCTGTATTCATACGATTTATTAAAATTTAAGTCCATGAAGTTTATCAGTATGTAGATTTATTAAAATCTAGCCCTGTTAAAAACCATCACACAACAAGTACCACATTTTAAATATTATAAATAAAGTACGTGCTAAACACATACATTAGACTTCTTGAGTAAATTCTCAACTCTTGCTGTCGCAATTATTGCCTAGGGACGTTTTGCGCCACTCATAACTCATATAGTCATATAATTCATCTATGTGTAAACACTTGTATATACCTATACTAAATTTAAATGTGGGCTATACGTAAATTTGAATTTTCTATACGTACTTATTCACGAGTACTTCTAAATAACAATAACAACGAGAATGTGAAAACAACGATCGTGCAGTGCATAGGTCAACTCTYTTCGTCGTCGGCCGATTACGTGCGAGTCGTTTTTAGTTTTTTACAGCGAACTCATACACGAAAATAATATATAATCAGAATATTATAATATTATACGCTATACAACTAATATGCAGAATGCAGATATAAACCACGTAACCACGTTTACACAGTATAAGATGAATTTAATTTCAGATGTGTGTATACTATATACATACAGGCATTAAACTATACATAATACAGATACAGTGGGCGCACACTAAAAAATAAACAGGGGTAGCTTATTGGCTTTTAGTCTAATGGCTATAGCCTATATGCCTATATAGTAGGTATTAAATAGTTTTTTAATTTGTTTATACATTACACGAATTGTTACGTTTTGGATATTTTTGGGGCTTGGATAGACACCCACCTATCAAAAAAATCAGGGGTAGCAGCTTCTACCCTTGAACCCTCCAGTGTACGCCGTTTTAGGCATACAGCTGCGGTGATCACGGCCACGGTGGTCGCGTCATCCCTATCGAATATAATAGAACGCAAGCGCAACTAGTATAATAGTTTTAAATGCACAATTATTATCATATTATACATGTTATGATATTTTTTGCCATCATACATTTTAATAATGCATTTCTATAATTTATCGTACTCGGTATATATCTGTATACTAGTATGTAATCAAAATATATTGGAATTAGAATATAAATATCTATTTAGCTGAAAAGTGATATTTAAAATGTAAATAATAAGCTTGGTAAGTGTTGTGGCAAAGCCCTCCCACGGGTCTGTCGTGCACCTGCAACACAGTTTTTAAATCGTCGGATTCAGCTCCTCTACTTAATTTTTCCAAATTCGAGCACTGAGTATAATACTTTAATCTAAGATTTAAACTTCAGCGACCACAGGATATCCTACTTGAACCTAAAAAAGACACGTCAATTTTAGATTCTAACCTAGAGTGATAAGATAACCAAAATTAAAAAAAATCATTGCAATAATGTAAAGATAATATTGTAATCATATTAATCGAATAAAGTACCTAACATTACAAGAATACCTTGTGTATTGATACAACTAAATAAATTAATTTAAAAAAAACTTTTTCATTCATATATTATGATCTGACGGGTTTTTAAAGTTTATTGTGATGCTCTTGTAAGAGCTTTTTAATCATTTTATAATACTACTGATAAAAGTCAAGGCTGTACTCGTGGTGTTGGCTAAAATTCAAAAGTTATAGAAGGTAATAACCATTTGTGATGAGGCATGGTCGCATGGAGGTATCGGTTCTAAGACGGAAACGTTCAAAATTCAAGTTTCAAGATCTAGAAATCCCTCATGTCCCTAGACAGGATAGCATCGTTAATTTATACGGTCCAGTCTTGTCCTTTGATGAAAGTCCAAACGCAAAGCGTAAATCTGAAAGACGTATTTTAGTGTCTAGCAAGTCAGTCACCTAGAGTGAAAATTTATTTGTTCAACTTCGATTATTTACTTCATATCGTAATGACAAATCCGAGTAGGTATATTCATTGTTTACATCTTAAGCTCAATGAATACATGAGGTATAGGTTATAGACCATGATATTTTAACGTCATGATCTGCAAATTACAAGGTAGTTGACTATGTATACTATAGGGTATGAACTGAAATGAAAGTGAGAGTTCCTTCATACATCCTTGTGTCAGTCATATGACTTAAGTTCAACGTAAGGCTTATTATCTAATTTTTTTTTATTTAAACTAGTTTAACCTGTTGCAGACCTTACTATGATTTCAACGTTCGGTGTTCCTATATTTGTAGATAGGTACATACACTTAAACAATAAATGATGATATTAAATCGATAGGTAACGCATATAATATTCCGGATTGTATCATTACCATCATATGTTTGAACATTATTTGTTTAATGGACGAAACTATTCGAATAAGTATTTTTACTGAATATTACGGAAAATTTAAATCATGAAGTAAATAACTTTAATACCTACCACATCACTGTACACAATATAAGTTAGTATATAGATATTCGTCATTCATGGATCATCAGAGTGTCAACTATTTTCAAGTACAAGTTGAGTTTTGAGTACAGAAAAATTAAACTGCTAGGTAATCTATTTTGTTTGTTTTYTAAAAGATAATTAGTATTATTTTGTATTACATCACAAGTAGTAGCGTATAATAAGTGATTATATAGGTTTATTCAAGAATATATTACAAATTATAATACTAGATATTGACCCTTTTGCTGTGAGAGTATGAGCCCGTATGTTGTCTGCCACATAATAAAGTACCTATAATAATATATTGCCAAACACGTACACGTTGTCATCTGAATCATCGTCAAATATTTTACCATAATAAATAAATAAATAACTATTTATTTTTACTATTGAAAATGATTGATATTATGTGAATGTCACGTTTTACGATGGGATTTTTTTAGTGTAAAGACTACAGAGTAAATAATAATATATTATACATTCATTTTCACAAGATTTTTAATATCAGTAAACTGCAGTTTGTTAATGTAGGTATTACCTGCAATTAATATCATATTATGTAGATTAACTGACGTGTTAGATAATGGTATTTTACTTAAATACTATAATATTATGATAGGTACCTATATCATATTTCAATTCTATACAATAAMAATGGCATTATAATTTAGTTTTTTTGATTAATATATCATTAAATAAATGATTGTTTTTTTTTTTTTAAGTTTCTGTTATTTAAGTTCAGTGTCTGTCAATGTCATATAATATATTATTAACTATTATACGTCATAATATATTAATATAACATATAACACGTCATATATATTATGTTCGTCATCCAGCAATGCGTATTGCGGTATTCTGTTATGCAAAAAATTTATCAATCTGAAAACTGAAGACATTTAGAACTGCAGCACACGTGTCGTAAATTTACATGTAATAACGATTAAAGAGCGTAAAAATAATCACATCGGTATAACATTCGAGTAATTTTGTTTGGGATAAAATTGTAATTTTGAAGATTTCAGAAGATCGCAGTATTTAAAAAATATATATCAAAAATTAACAAATAAAAATATAATTCGTGAAATATACACAGTGTATAATTAATTGTTTGAAGTTCTGAATATTATATTCATAAGTCATTGTGAGGTAAAATATGTATATTATTTGCATTGGTTTTACATATATTATATTCTACTGTTTTTATTTTGCAATTATCAATACATTTTTTTATTTATTATATTTGAGTTTTACTTATTCGACGTACCTACATCAAACCAATAGGTTATATATAAAATATTATAAGAACTGAACAGTATATGAGTATAAAATATTATAGAAAGCTTTTTAAAACTAATTATACACCGAACAAGTACAATTCATGATTTATATAAGTATAAAAAACGTTAAAATTTTATTAAATTAATAAATATGGCTGTAAGATGCAGACATAATCTATTAGGTATAGAATTTATAACCTAAGTTATAACAAGAAAATTAAATTTGTTTTCGAGGTTTGTAGTAGTAATTCAAACAGAAATACAATATCTAATTAATGGAAATTTAAAATTTAAATTCTTGTTTTATCATCTTTCTCTATCGTTTTTATTGTTCCTATTTTTGTATATTTTTGTTGATTAAATAAAACTTAAAAAAAGTAAATATTTTTTATCATCCCCATTCTATTTAGTGAAACTTTTCTAATGTAATTCTTATACGTAACTATACATATTAATTAGTTCACRTGACGTAATTTTGAACTTTTAGTTTATCGCAGAGATAAAGACGCAGAGTCTTATTCTTACCTTAGACGTATTATAATACGTCAAAGGTAAAATCATGTACAGTATGTAGTCAGATACTTCTACTTCTAAGTAGTCCTAATTTCATTCTAACTCTTAAATTTTAAATAACAATACAAAACATTAAGCAATAGTGGTTTTGTGGGAAGCGATGGGCTAATCTCACCCCTCACCCTTTGGGAGTTAAAGGGGATCACTCCCTTGATTGATTTTTTCTACTTTATTAAAATTGAAAAATAATTTATGGAAATAATTTACAAGAAATATTTTCAACGCTTTTAAAATATATATGATCGAAACGTAAATAATAATAATAATAGTAACAATAACTTTTTGCATATTTTCTTGGTCCAAGGGTTGATTTTATAATGCAGGTATATCATATTAAGATGTGCTTTGGTGTATTATTGTTTTTAGAATAGAATGGTTTTATTATGTGAGTATTAACATTCACAAAGAAGGCGCAACAAATATTTTTATGATCAAAGTATTGTGATAAAGTGCGATTAACAAATTCTCATGTGTTGTAATATTGATTATCCTTATAGACAGAATATATATCCGAAGATGAAACAGATTATGTTATTTGGTTTCCGAGAGGAGTGGGGAATCCGTCGATTTCAATCGGAAATTGCCGTTCGCTTTCACTTTTTACGTCAGATCAGTTTCACATGTATTACAAGTTCATAATTTCAAGTATCTGTATCTTTACGTATAAACAATATTTCAGACTGTATAATAATATGACATTACTTACCAACCATTTTATTTTCCACGCTAATTGAGTGTGTTAATATGTTAAGTAATAATCATTAAAATACATAATATTTAGTGTGATACTATCATTAATGGATTAAAAACCATTTCAAAAAATAAAAACATTTTTATCATTTTTACAATAGTTCTTATGAAATAGGCAGTAGCAATAATATTTTATTGATATTCTTTTTTTATGAAATATTCGTTATTTTAATGTACATGAAGTAATTTGTTGCGTCATTTAGTGTACAATTTAAATATTTAATTATTAACTTAATCTGGTCAATCAACAATTTGTAACATCGAATGTTATGCCATAGTATATAAAACATACATATGTAGTTTAGAAAAATAACTTGTTATTATAACAATGTCAAAAGTACCAATAGGTATAGATGATATAATAGCCAATAGGCATAGTGTCACAAACATTATCATATTAATAAATATTTAAATGTTATTTAGAATTAAAATATTTAAAATATCAATAATTTGAACAGGAACCATATTTGGCAAAAGCCATGAAGCAGGCATACTTTGTGCCTGAAATATAATTTCAGTGGTCTGGAACAAAATTTAAATCTTAAGTAAATCTTCATACCTAAACCATTATTTTCTTGCTTGTATTATGTTGAATATCATTATTCATGAATTATAATGAATTAAAAAACACATTATAAACTAAATTACCTTTTACTTTTGAACATTTTTTTGATGGTATTATTATTGGATTATATAGTACAACACAACTATATTATAGGAACCCAACTCCTTATTTATAGGAATTGTTAGATTTTTTGKATGTGGATGTGGAGGAAAAATATTGGATTGCGTACAATTTGGCATGTTAGTAAAATTTGATTAAAAGAACTTTCTTGGATATGCTAGATTTTGTTTAAAAATAATTTGATAAATTGCATAAATTAGTGATTATTTTGTTATTTTATTTTTAGTTCCGTCAAGAACAATATTGAAGTCGGTAAATGGCCGATTTTCAGGCGGAGAGTTATCATGCATTATGGGACCATCGGGTGCAGGAAAGAGTAGTTTACTTAATGCATTATCTGGTTACAAGTAAGCATTATTCTCGAATTATATTTTTTAGGTTAGTTTAGAGCGTGTGTTTTATATAAGATTATATTATGATATACACGATGTACCCGATATAGGAAATCACTAATAGGTTTAATTTATTGTATAAATGTTTAATGATCTTAATAAATATTACACGCTTGTTGTTATATATAGGTATATATATATAATTAATTGATAAGATGTATCAAAATAAGACTGTTCTAACGTTCTAACTTATTTGAATAAGAATTAAAGTTACTTAAAATGTTAATACAAGCTATTAGTTATTATACTAATTTCATAACCGGGAGCTAATTAACTTAACCTTAAGCTGTAAAGAACCGTTTGAACTCCCAAWACATTTTTTTAACAACAACATTTTTTTTTGATATTATGTTTGAAGTTAAAAAATTTTGAAATTTTAAAATAATTAATTTTAAATGTGAAAGTAAAGTCGTTATCCTTTGATGTTAAAGTACGTTACACATAAACACTATGATTACTAAATCGTCCAAAATCCATTAAATATTAAGGGCCAACAATTTAATTTTATACCAACTAATATAATATATATTAGGACCTATATTACTGTAACAAGTTTAGACAACACTGGTAGGATATTGTAAAAATGTGTTAGTTCGTCTATTTTTACACAGTTGAATTTTTATTTTTTAAATTATGAATACATGTATAGTTAATAAAGATACGCATTCGTTATTTTTTTTTTTTTTTTAGGGTTAAGGCTTCGACAACTGAGGCATTAGCCTGGGGGAATTGTAGGGGAAGGTACTGTAGGTTTTAAACACGAGGGTATTTTGGCAGAATTTTGAATGAGCACCCGTAGGTTTCTGCCATGCCCGGTTGGGGGGCGGCGACCTCTCTCTCCAGACACCGCRAAATGCCCAAAGARCGATGCCGCCCGTGACCGAGGTTCGAACCGACGACAGACGCCTTAATCCGCTCGGCYACTCCACTCCCATTCGTTATTTTATTAGTATAGAAACATCAACAATATTGGGATATATTTTTTCTTGATTATTATAATTAAATGATTAGAAAATGTGCATACAATAATAATGTAAAACATTTAGAGTTCCATATTCTATGAGTTATATTTTTTAAGTGTATAGAGATAAAATTAACATAATTTTTATAATATTAACGCGCGTAATATCGTCTACTATAATATTATAGACTTCAGTTATGATTTTGAAAATAAATATTTAAACTTTATTTGACAGGGGTTAAGAATGTATTCAATATTAATTTTTCTTTTATCGACATTATAAATTTTTTAATGAAAATATCTATTAATTGTATAAAATATAATATAAATATACTTCAGTGATCATATATTGTTGTTATAACAATAACCAAAACAATATTTTCTTATGTTGACTAATTAAGCAGTAATATTTTAGTTATAAAGGTGTAAGTGGGACTCTGAAGYTGAATAGTCAAGTCAGAGACGAGAAGTTGTTTCGTAAGTTATCATGTTACATAATGCAGGAGGACAAGATTCAGCCCATGTTGACTTTAAATGAAGTGATGATGTTCGCAGCGGAACTTAAACTATCCAATACTACACTGACCAAAGAAAAACAAATGATCGTGAGTTTAATACATAATAAAACAAACAATACAAATCGCCTACAGGTGTAACTCGTTTAAGTGAAACTATAGTTAGGTACAGTTTTTTTTTCAACGGGTGAATGGATACAATATTGTAATATGCCACATAAATAGACTAGATAATTCTAACATCTATCGTATTATGCAGTGGCGTACATAGAAATCATTTTTTTTGGGTGGGCTGTTACAATATATAGCAACTAAAAAATAATCTAGCACCTAGAGATT